CACCGCGTGCCCCGCTCTCCCCCACCTGCCGCCCCTCACCGCGTGCCCTGCTCCCCACCGCGGGCTCTGCCCCTGCCTGCTCACCGCGTGGCCCGCCTTGTGCAGCCTTCTACACGAGCAGGTACGGTTACAAGATGTGTCTGCGCATCTATCTGAATGGAGATGGCACTGGGCGGGGCACCCACCTGTCTCTCTTCTTCGTGGTGATGCGAGGCCCCAACGACGCCCTGTTGCGGTGGCCCTTCAACCAGAAGGTGGGCCTCTGCCCTGTCCCATCCCCAGAGGCTGCCCCAGCGTGGGTGGGGGCATCTGGGGGCCCATGGGAAGTGGTGCAGCTCCCAGACATCAGGTTTGCTGGACACGGTTCTCCGAAGGAGCCCGGGTGCACAGTTGCCCTGGTGGTGTGCGCGGGGTCCTGCCCACAGTGCTTTTCACTGCACAGGTGACTGGGTCCATGGCCCACTGAGACCAGCGATTAAAGAGCCTGCTCAGGAATGCGCTGTGAAGGGAGAGGCAGCCAGGGCCTCCCCAGGGTGGGGGTGCAGAGCCCGAAACCAGGATTGCGTAATTGTTGTGAAGATACATATAACACAGTGTTTTTTTGTTACACAGCATTTTATAGTCAACATGTAACAGCATTTTAAACATAACACATAACAGCATTTTACACGTAACGGTGTTTTACACGTAACACATAACAGTGTTTTATGCATAACTTAACAATATTTTATACATGACACATAACAGCGTTTTATACATAACAGATTTTACATGTAACACATAACAGCTTTTTATATGGAACACATTTGTCAATTCAGCGTTTTTCAGGTGTACAGTTTAGTGATATTAGTTACATTAATCATGTTGTACAGTCATGGTTGTAGTTGATGCCACATTTCTTGTCATCATAAAGGTACTGCTTTCTAAACAATGGCTCCTCCTGTCCCTGGTGACTGCTTATAAACTCTGGTCTCTCTCTCCGTGTGTTCCTGTTCTGGCTTGTCCGTGAAGTGGGGCCGTACGCTGTCTGCCTTTCTGTGTCTGACTTGTTTCGCTCAGCACAATGTTCTCACGGTTCCTCCGTTGTAACGTGTGTCAGCACTTCATTTCTCTTTGTGGCTGAGTGATACTCTGTCACACGTCCGTGCCACGTTTGTCCGTCCGTCATCTGTGGAGGGGCCCAGGGCTCTGTTTGCTTCCCGGCCTTCAGTTCTGGGTGTGCACTGAGTGCAGTTGCCGTGTCGTATGCTTATCGGTTTAACTTTCTGAGGAACTGCCACACAGTGCTCCACGGCAGCCACACGTTTCCTGTTGCCACCAGCAATGGATGCGGGTTCTGGTTTCTTAGAGGGGTGTAGGTGCAGGGGCGCAGGACACTGGGCGTGGCTGATGGCTTCCTCCCCCAGGTGACGCTCATGCTGCTCGACCAGAACAACCGGGAGCACGTGATTGACGCCTTCCGGCCTGACGTGACCTCATCCTCCTTCCAGCGGCCCGTCAGCGACATGAACATCGCCAGTGGCTGCCCCCTCTTCTGCCCTGTCTCCAAAATGGAGGCCAAGAACTCATACGTGCGCGACGACGCCATCTTCATCAAAGCCATCGTGGACCTGACGGGTCTCTAGCACTGCTGCTGCTGTGTGGGAAGGTGCACCGTGGGCTCCACACTGGGCAGGGCCCCCGGGTGTCAGGCAGGGCCGGGGAGCGTCTCCATCTCCCCCCAAGTGCGCCCTCAGCACCCAGGGGAAGAGGCCCGCTGGCTGGCGCAGAGGCCCACAGGGCGGGAGTGTGGCTGTGGACTGCAGCTGCGCCCTGCGGCACCGGGAGAGCGTTTCCTGTGCAGTGTCAGAGCACTTCGGGTGCAATGGGAGCCGCCGTCGGGGACCCTCGTCCCTTGGACATGGGGAGCAGGAGAAGGGGGGCTGTGGCCCGCCACCGGGCTTGGCCCTTGAGGCCCTGCTGCTCATGCAGGGCAGGTAGACGCCCACATGGGCCCCCCGGCCGTGCGTTTCTCAGGCCTGAGCCTAGGCTTGGTGCTGATTGCAGGGTCCTGTACCCCTCAGGGTGTCAGGGTACCTTGCCTCTGCTGGACCTGCAGGGGTGTAGGTGGGGCGGGTGTACAGTCCAGCCCCACTCACTGGGGGACGGGTCAGCCGCACCGTCAGCTGACAAGAACGTCATTAAATCTTTCAAACCTGCAAGGCGTGTGGTGTCCACTTGACTGTCGGCCCTGCAGTGGTGGCCCTCGGGGCCTCTTGGTTACCCCCTCGCGCGGGGACAGGAGTGGGCGTTCTGCCTCTCTCCCCGCTGCTGCGACCCCCAGTGCTGCCCGTGTCGGGGCCCTGCCGGCCAGCCTTTGCACCTCAAACAGAGTCCCCTCCCTCCTGATGCCACTGGATCCTGTCTGGGTTGCTCCTCAGGCCTCACAGGGATTCTTGGGGAGTGGGGCCAGAGGTGCCCCCACCCCTCACTTCACCCTCCCTGTGCACAGGTCAGCCCAGGCCCGGAGGGGCCAGTTGCTTCTTCCCCAATGGGGGTCTGACAAGCATGTCACTGCCTAGAACCAGACTTCTCCAGGTCCCGGGCGTTGCTGTGACAGTGGCAGAGCCTTGGGGTCCTGATGACTGGGTTGCACCTGTGATAGGCCTGTCTGAAAGCCTTCCAGCCCAGGGCAGTGGCTGAGGGCGGGAGGGCCTGTGCAGCCTCGAGGTGGGGGGCCTGGAGCCTAGGGTCCTGGCAGGGGTCCGTTTTTACCCCAGACTCAAGGGTTATCTGTTCTCAGGGTGAAAGGGGCTGTGTGGAAATTTCACATTTATTGTTCATTGCCAGCAGCATAGGTCTAGCTTCCTGGGGATTGTGGTATTGTTAATGCCTAGCTTGCATGGTTCACTTTTGCACGTTCCTGCGATTTTGATTTATTTTCCTCCTGTCCTCCCTTTTGCTTTCCCATGATTTTAAAGTTTAACTGAATTTCTCTTTGAGAGGTAGAATGATCTTGGAGGGTAGCAGAACAAATTGTTAACCCTCGAGGACTAGGATTAACTTATCTGCAATGCGACAGTCGTGACTAACGGTGCCAGATGACCTTCAAGGATCGCCAGTGAGAAGTTAGATCATCTGGGGTGTGCAGAACGTGACCACCGGAAGAGAAACTATAATCCTGTCCATATAAAACCTTCAGCCAGTCTCCAGTTGGGGAGACAGGTCTTTTGGAGGAGCTCATTCTCCTCTGTCTCCTGTATAACGATACACAACAAAACACTCTTGCTGTTCACTTCACCCCTGTCTCAGTATTGGCTTCTGGGGCAGGTGGCTCAGACCCGTCATTGCGGTAACAAATTTTGGCACCCAACGTGGGGCTCTCCAGCCGCTTGAGACATGGTGGCCCTGGGGCTGGCCCAGGATTGTCTGGCTGTCTCCCTGAACAGCTGGCTACAAGAGGCTCCCTTTGCCTCCAGGGAGCTGCCGACAGCACCAAGGCCCGCTGCGGCACCGCCAGTCCCCAACTGCACCAGACGGAGGTGAGTGAGAAGGGAAGCAAGATTGGTATAAAGATTCTGAGGTGAGTCTGCAGTTCCTCTTCCTGTTGTGCTCAGGGCTGGGATGGATAGGGCAGGCCTCAGGTTTCCAGAGAGGGACCTGAGCTCTCAGTTTCTGAGGCGGAAGGTGCTTCAGATGACCGATCCCCACGAGTAGGATTTTAGAAAAGGACTCTTGGTGACTCCAGACTTGTGGTCTTGAGTGTGTGAGTGCTCGTGAGTGTGTCTGGGAGGTTGAGACCACCAAGATCACCTCTGTGGGCAGGGTTGTCTGAGAGGTTGAAAGGGTCGAGAGCACCTCCAGCAGCTTTTGGGATTTATTTGCTTACTATGGTTCTGTGTCCTGTCCATTGTGTGTGTGTACCTAGTCTTATACCATCTTCTTGGGCGCCATCTGCCGGTGATTAGAGCTAACTGTGGCCGAATCTTGTTATCTCTATACGGTCTCTTCTGCTGAAGATCTTAACAAGTGGTGGGTAGATTGTCGGGAGCGCCCTGGATCTCTCTAGTCATCTCACCCACCGCCCACTGAAATTTAGACACCCTCTTGTGGGCCAAACTTATTCTCCTCTCTATTTCCTTCACTTTGTGTCATGGCATCTGGGCCGCACCTGCCAGGATCAGAAACAGGGCTGTGTCCCCGACCTTCAGGACTTAGCCCTAGTGGGAATTTTTGTGGCCCTAAGCCAGACCTACAGGGAGGGTGAGTACCAGACGGATCAGGAGAATAACCTCATCATAGCCCCAAACCAGCACACCCGTCGTCTCTTGGGCCGCTCATTACAGGAGAGGAGAGGTATGAACTGAGGAGGGCAAGGTGAAGACATGGGGAAGCAGCTGAGTGTTCCCAAGGATTCCCCTCTAGGATGCATTTTGGCAAACGGGAAAAGGTAGAGCTATGAGCCTATGACAAAAAAGAAAATAGTATTTCTGTGTAATGATGCCTAGCCCCAATACCGGCTAGGGGATCAGGAGGCTTGGCCCCAAAATAGGTCAATGGCTTATAATACAATTTTGCAACTTGATCTGTAGAAGAGAAAAGAAATGGACAAGGTCCCGTATGTCCAGGCCTTTGTGTGTCTCTGTCAGACCTTAAACCCCTCTAACCAGGTACTCTTCCAAGGAAAATCTAAGGGAAAGGTGCTTCCAGAATCGTCAATAGAACCCTTTGTTGGAAGGACTAGTCCCAGTACCTGCCTGGCCGCCCGCCCCGATATGGGGGTGGTGTGGGTGTGGCTGACAGGACGGGGACAAACGGGGACAGGAGGAATGGAACCAGACTCCAGCACAGGAGGCTGAGGAGGGTGCAACTGCCTCGACTTCAGGTGTGGTCTCTCCCTCTCACACCCATCAGGGTATGGTTTTCGGTGAGGGTGCTCCCGAGGCTCGGGCAGGGCAATCCTGTTGAGAGAAGTCCTGGCAGCCGGAGGAGGAACAGTGTTGGTGCACACCTCTTTTTCCACCTCTGACTTATATAACTGGAAAAATTATAATCCTCCCTACTGGAGTGATCCAAATAAGATGGCAGAACTATTTCTGTCCATCTTTTCCACTCACCGCCGTATGTGGGCAGACATACAAGCCCTACTGACCACCTTATAAACTTGAGAAGAATGCCACATGGTATTAGAACAAGCCTGCAAAGAGGCTGATAGACTCCACCGTCAGGATCCCCTGACTCAGCCAGCTGGGGAGGAGGCCATCCCAGCTAGGGACCCAGGGTGGGACCCAAATCAGGAAAATGGACGGAATAGACTCCAGCTTTACCGTGACTGTTTGTTAGCTGGTTTAAAGAATGGGGCACCAAAATCCAAGAGCCTACAGAAAATTAGGGAAGTTATTCAGGGGGAAACAGAGGATCCTTCCACCTTCCTGGAAAAGGTGACTGATGCCTTCCGTCAGTATACTGATACAAACCCAGAGGACCAGAATAACTCGCAGCTCTTAAATATGACCTTCATTTCCCAGGGTGCCCCCAATAGCCAAAGGAAGTTACAGAAATTAGAGGGTGGACGAGGAATAATTATGGGACAGTTGCTCGAAATTGCCATTTCAACAATAGGGATCAGGCAGCTGAACGAAGAGAGCAACAAAAAATGAAACAGAAGGCCGATCTGTTGGCTGCCACCCTTGTCCCTTCAGGCTCAGTAGAAAGACTGGGGATAAGAAAGAAGGCTGACTCAGGGCGGCGAGCGAGACCACCACTGGGGGTAGATCAGTGCGCTTATTGTAAGAAACATGGGCATTGGAAATGAGAATGCCCTCTGGGGGCCCAAATCACCTTTGGGCCATCCCGCATCCTGGTGCAGACCTCCCCAGAAAATGCTTGTGCTTTCCAGGCAGCACTATTACAAAGGGAGGTGGCAACATCTAGCAGTGTCTCCCCATATCTTGCGGGAAGTGAACCCAGAAGTATGGGCAACAGGAAGGCCAGGGCGGGCAAAATCCACAGTGCCAGTAAAAATAGCCTTGAAACCTGGAGCACCCATTGTAAATCAAAAACAGTATCTTCTCTGAAAGGAAGCATTGGAGGGAATTGCACTTTTGGTTCGAAAGTATACAAAGATTGGACTTTTAAAATTCTGCCGCTCCCCGTACAACACTCCTATTCTACCAGTATTAAAACCAGGGACAAAGGAGTACCAGTTCGTCCAAAACTTGAGAAAGATAAATAGTGGAAGATATCCATCCAGTGGTGCCAAATCCCTACACCCTTCTGGTCACCATCCCCAGCCAATGTGCCTGGTTTTCGGTCTTGGACTCGAAAGATGCTTTGTTTTGTATTCCTCTGCATCCTGAGTCCCAGCCACTTTTTGCTTTTGAATGGACTAATACTAAAACCGGGCCCAAAAGACACCTCACATGGCAGGTTTTGGTCCAAGGGTTCAAGAAGTCCCCCACCATTTTTGGAGAAATTTTAGCGAGAGACTTGAGGACATTAAAATTAGAGAAGGGTCTTGTTTTGCAGTATGTCGATGACATTCTGATAACGAGTGAGACCAAGGAGGACTCTGACCAGAACACCATACTGGTCCTAAACCATCTGGCTGAATGTGGATATCGAGTCTCTAAGAAAAAGGCCCAGATATCCCAATGGCAGGTAAAGTATCTGGGTTTCCAAATCTCACAAGGGCAACGGAGCTTCCTCCAGGATCAGAGGGAAGCCATAATGCGGCTGGCACCTCCTACCTCCAAGTGAGAATAGCGAGGTTTTCTTGGGATGGCGGAGTTCTGTCGGATCTGGATCCCAGGATTTGGGCATATGGCAAAACCTCTATATGAGGATTTGAAGGAGGAAGAGAAGGAATCTTTATTATGGACCAAGGAAGGTCTGCAGGCTTTTGAAAAAGTAAAGTACAAGTTAATGACTGCTCCAGCATTGGGGTTACCAGATTTACAGAAACCTTTTGAACTCTTTGTGCATGAGAGACAAGGAATAGCTGTGGGAGTATCACCTCAGAAGTTGGGGCCCGCCAGGCGACCCATGGCCTACTTTTCCGAACAATTAGATAATGTGGCCTGGGGATGGCCCCCATGTCTTCTGGCTGTGACAACAACTTGTGACCTGCTGCGGGAGGCTGAAAAACTCACCTTAGGGCAGAAGGTGACAGTGAATACCGCACATGTGGTTCTGCCCCTTTTAGAACAAAGGGGGGCTTCTGGCTCACAGCAGGCCAGATAGGCAAATATCAAGCCATCCTGCTGGACAACACAAATGTGGTTTTAAAAGCCGTCTCCTCCCTCTACCCAGCCACCTTGCTGCCCATATCAGAAGGGGCTCCTATGCACGATTGCTTAGAGATAACTGAGGAAGTTATTCCAGCAAAGCTGATCTCTTGG